TGTATGTATGTATGTATGTATGTATGTATGTATGTATGTATGTATGTATGTATGTATGTATGCATTTATGCATATATAATGTATGTATATGTAAGCAGTATACAATAGCAAACTTAGTTAGGTACGATGAAAATTTGAAGGAAAAATTAAGATGCCCCAAATCATCGGCCAACGTAACACGATGAAAGGTTTAGTATTTGAATCCGTAGCTGACCAAAAATGCCAAAATATCTCCGTGTAACTCACATTAATGCAATTTAACTTTTCCACCTTTTTTGCACTACTGTGCCACCTAAACTGTGAGTTAAATGTGGGGGTCTAACGGTTATCTTTCCGAAAGATGTTCTGGCAGACGTACCGAGGAATTCGCAGTCCTTCAGCAATACACACGCATAACCACAACAACCAATAAATGACCCTAGCTTATTTCTTTGGCTTGCAAGTAGGACTTTGACATGTAAAAAACATCGTTCCTATAATATATAAGAATTGTCAGAGCATACTTATACATAATTTGCAGGGTTGCTATGCTGTCGGAGAGTCTTGGAACTTGCGGATGAGGATAGGCTGGAATACTGAAAAAGAAACCCAACTAGAAAATCTTTTGTAAGACCTTCAGATGACACGATGCGTTGCAGTAGAGCTTTACTGTTCGAATTTCAGGACACCTTCTAACGCTTTCTTCCGGCTAGGCAACTGCCTCAAAAAGGACCCATTGTGTGAACTCACTAGTGCTTATTCGGGAGAAATAAGTGGACATTCTGCTCAGGTTGAGCCGAAGAAAACGAGACCACATGTGCTGGCAGTGGGGCAAAGAAAATGCGCAAGCTCCAGCAGAACCACTCGAAACTCATCTGCATAAGCAATCCGGGATGGTGGATCGAGAGCCAGGCAAAATTCGGTCTTGAAAGTGACCATTTGCGGAGAATAGACAAAATACCAATTTCTGCGCAAATGGATGGCTCAAGAAGCGGTGCGAAGCGCATCCCTCAGCCTAACATTGATTTTTCACCAAGCAGCCACACACAGAGGCAGATGTATAAATGATCTAGCAGAATGGTAGATAGACTGAGGGATAGCCAGATGCTTAGTTGAGATGGAAGACACTAGAGGGCCAAACAGTGGGTTTATGTACATTAACTCAAACGCATATACATTTGACTAGCTCTCCAGATAGGCAGGCATGTAGATCGACAGAAAAGTAAATAGCAAGACTCCTCCTTAGAGAGGAAGTAACACACATACACATGCAGACACAATTACACACCAACAAAAAACACATCTACAAGGAAAGGGAGAGAGAATGAAGTAGCTGGCTGAACTCCGTTACTACCTGTCAGCTAGTCTTATACTGCGTCGCTAACAAAATATCACATCTATGTTGTTTCGGCGTATCGATTCAAGGCACCTTTAGAGAACAAATGAAGATGGCTAAGAAAAAACAACTTGCTAAAGAAATAATGCACTTTTAAATATTAGATGCAGAATGTATATGCTCATTATCTTCAAATATTGCACACGAATTGCCTTATTGTGCTGTAGGTATATGATGCTTTATTCGAATTGGCATCGAAAATGTGAGAGCAACACGCTGCAGAAGAAATGGGATCAGATTACCTGACTCCAGACTACCAAAGTTACAGATGCACAGGAATCTCTAGGACCTGACTAGCTCCCTCACGAGCCTTATTCTAGAGTCGATCGTTGTTGGCCCTTGGTCGGAGCACTAACGAAGCACACAAATACCAAGATGGTGTGGTTTTTGGTTCGGATGCAGTCGCATCTTGCCGAATAGAGTCAGTTGCATCACAGTTTTACAACACGTCGCTGCTCTCTATCCTACCGTAGTCCGGTACATCTTTCAAAGCGTTACGCATAACGACTTGTTACGTTAAGGAATGGCAATTTTTGGCTTTCCGCCAATTTAACTCAAACTATACCACCTCA